ACAAAGCAATTGCAGGACTTTTGAGAGAATTTGATTGATCATGGGCTGATGATGATACAGTAGCAGACTTGGAAATTTAGTTTGGTCTAATTAGCAACAAAAGCTGCTCAGCAGAAAATCACAAAAACAGTTCATAGAATAGAAGGAACTTTTCTGTTACTGAACTAGTGTGACTGACCTCCAAACTCAAGGTCAGAGGCTAAACCCTGAACAAGACAGGGCTGAAACATGGCAGATAGGATGTAATCCTGAGTTCTGTTCTTCTCGTATCATTGTCTTTTTTTGCTCTTTCCGTAAGAAAGCCAGTATGAAGAAACCACATGGAAACAACGGCCTGGTATAACCATGTTTATTAAATTCATGAAAACTTGTAAGGCTTAGCTACACGCCCTAGCTCAGTGGTTCTCTGCTAGGGTACTATGGCACCCTGGGCTGCCCTGATCTTTTCAAGGGTATCATGCAGTGTTAGCACTATTAGGTGTGCAAATACGATTCACAGGATTAAGACAGAGATTTCAAACAGGAATTCATAGTGTAAAACCATTCTGATCTGTTGTGGTCTTTCTGAGTTCTTTGCAACAGAAAAATTGCTCTATTATTTTTCCTTAGTCAAAAACAAGTGAAAACTAAGAGCTGGCGTTTTCTGAGGGGTGCCTTGATTTAGAAAGGTTGAGGACCACTGCTTTACCTTGTTTCTTTTAGCATCTAACAGAACACAGTGAGCACCACACAGGGGTTCACAAACTGTATAAAAGGAAGCTTTTATTCTTGTACGCTGCACTCATGTAAAGATGAACAGCCAGATTTTTACTTAAATCTGTCTTTGCAGATTAAGCTTTGTTGTTTTCATCAACATAGTAGTACATAATTGAAATGAAATAACAGAAGACAAAATAGTATTGAATACACAAAGTTGTGATTTGTTTAGATCAGTGATTTTTCACCTGAGGTGCCAAGGCATCCTTGGGTTCCATGAGACCCTTTTAAGAGTGATGCAAGGATGCCATGCTATATTAGCGCTGTTAGGTACGCAAAACACCCACACACAGAATAAACTCAAAGATTTCCAGTAGGAATCCATAGTGTCAAAAACCTTCTGACCTGTTGGGGTCTTTCTGAACTTTTACAACAGAAGAATTGCTGTACTATTTTCATAGCCAAAACATGGTGAAAGCTTAAGACCTGGAATTTTCCAAGGAGTGCCTTAAGTTTAACATAGGGTGTCTTGAGTCTAAAAAAGTTGAAAACCACTTGGTTCTACTCCTCTAACCAAGTAAGTTTGCTTATAGCCTGTTCAAATTGGGTTGGTTATTATAACCACTAGACTAGGTGCTGGAATAGCAAAGAAGATAGCAACAGCATTGCCAACTTTTGCAATTGTTTTTACAGAATCTTACCTTATTACTTATGTTTCTTAAAACTCCCTGCTCCTAGATTCATGTCAATTACATATCTCTTGGCTTTTATTTATTTTATTATAAAAAAAAAGTAAGATTCTTACCTCATGCAATTGGGGAAAAGCATAAAAAGGGGATCTGTGTGCAGCCTAAGGGCTGTGATGAGAAGCAGAAAAAAGAACCCAAAATGTATTTCAACCAAACTTGTGATTCTTCTTTTTGGAATGATTTCTGAACAGACTGAGTTGGCAGTTCTGTAGCAAAAGTATGCAAGTATCTAGAACAGATACAGGAGTAGTAGGTGTAACATACTAATGGCTTGATGTTTGTGGTGTTGCATTTTACCTAGAGAATGGGCTTCTGCAGAGAGCAGCATGAACTGTGTTTTCTGCGTTCCATTTCCTAAAATGAGCTTTGCTTTCAAAAAGGAAATAATGCCTTTTGGTTTCTGAAAGTATAACTCTCCCAATATTGTTCTTCATCCAGCCTCTTTCAAGGCATTTATTGATCCCTATTATTTTGCATCTGAATTCTTTACCAATTTCCAATGCATTTATTCTCACAACAGCCTTGTGAGGCAGGGTGGTGCTGTTATCCTCATTGTACAGATATGGAACTGGGGTACAGAGAGACTGAGCGATTTGCCTAATGTTGCTCATGGAGTCTGTGGCAGAGGTAAATGTTGAATTGAGATCTCAGGCTAGTATCCTGCCCACTGTAGCCTTCTTCCTTTCTGAGGAGTGCTGTGGTATCCGTAATGTACTATGCTGTCTGTCTTCTATGTGGAACTGTAGGTTATGTGTTACCATGCCACCTGAGCCCAGGTGCCCATTGGGGTAGCATAGAGATTCTGTAGCCAACAGCATGCTGCTGTCATGCCTGGCTGCCTTTGGCTCTTCAGCCTGGAGGACCAGCTGGCAGTTCAGAGCTGAGTGAGAGGGTGAGCTGCTGGCATGAGTCTGGAGCGAGGCTTGAATTTACACCTCCCGAGCTGTAGCAACAGCTTTAGCTGCTTTGCCATGGTGCCCTCTCAGCTGTGTAGTTCTAGCATAAGAATCCTGCCAGGTCAGATCTCTGTGTCTGTATTGTCCTTTGCTGGCCTGGTAGACCCAGATGAGAAAAGCGCTACAGCACGTGCAGGAGTTCCCTGATCTCAGGACAACGCTGATGTCTGTGCATGAATAGAGACACTGCCTTGATTTGAGATTGGACTGTCAGCTATGGGGACGTGGTACGTTGGCTTAGGGCAGTTAGTATGTAAATAAAGATGTCTGTGAACTTTTTGTGCTGCCAGCCCAGGTGCAGAGCAGGGAGAAGAGGGACCTGACTCTGTCTCTCTTCTTCTACCAGCATCATCCCACTGGTGTCAAGGGAGTTGCACCTAGTTTACACCAGCCCTTTTATGACCAGGTGACCTATCACCTGGACAAGGGGGAAGAGATTGATGTGGTGTATCTTTACTTTAAAAAAACCTTCAATCTGGTATCCCACGATCACCTCTTGGCAAAACTGGCTATATGCGGCCTCGACTTCACCACGATCCGCTGGCTGGGGAATTGGCTCTGTGGTAGGACTCAGAGGGTGGTGGTTGACCGAAGCCAATCATCTTGGTGTGCAGTCACCAGCGGGGTCCCTCAAGGCTCTGTCCTAGGGCTTATACTGTTTAACATCTGTATCAATGATATGGACGCTGGTGTCAGAAGCGGACTGGCCAAGTTTGCCCATGACACTTAACTCCAGGGTAAAGCATCCACACCTGAGGACAGGAGGGTGATCCAGGCAGATCTTGACAGGCTCGTGAAATGGGCGGATGAGAACCTGATGGTGTTCAACACCGAAAAATGCAAGGTTCTCCACCTTGGGAGGAAAAACCCACAGCATGCTTATAGGCTTGGCAGTGCTGCGCTGGTTAGCACTACAGATGAAAGGGACTTGAGGGTCATGATTGACCACAAGGTGAACATGAACCTTCAATGTGATGCTGCGGCTAGTAAAGCGAGCAAAACGCTGGCTGGCATCCATAGATGCTTAAGCAAATCCCGGGACATCGTTCTCCTGTTGTACCTGGCCTTGGTGAGGCCGCAGCTGGAGTACTGCATTTGGTTTTGGGCTCCACAATTCAAAAAGGAAGTGGAGAAGCTTGAGAGAGTGCAGAGGAGAGACACGCGCATGATCAGAGGTCAGGAAAAGAGACCTTATGATGAGAGGCTGAGAGCCATGGGACTTTTCAGCTTGGAAAAGCGCAGGCTCGGGTGATCTGGTGGCTGCCTATAAGTTTATCAGAGGTGCTTATCATGATCTGGGGAAGCGTCTGTTCACCAGAGCACCCCAAGGGATGACAAGATCGAATGGTCACAAACTCTGCTGCGACCGATTCAGGCTGGACATAAGGAAGAACTTCTTTACTGTCCGAGCCCCCAAGGTTTGGAATAGACTGCTGCTGGAGGTGATTCAAGCACCCATTTTGAACGCCTTCAAGACACATTTGGATGCTTATCTTGCTGGGACTCTATGATCCCTGCTGACTTCCTGCCCCTGGGGCAGGGGGCTGGACTCGATGATCCTCCGGGGTCCCTTCCAGCCCAAATGTCTATGAAATCTATGAATGGGGCCTGGTATGTCTAATCATGCAAATCCAGTGTAGACTGACTGCAAACCAAGTCTAGTGTGGGAAAGATGCAAAGCCCTTCTTGTGGGAACCCAAAAATGCAGTGTTCATTTTGCTCTCAGAGTGGGGGGGCAGATTGGCTAGCAGATCTGCAACAGAGCACATGGGTCTGGAGTCCCCGTGGCATCTCCGCTTTGGTCTCTGCAGTCCCAGCGTTAGCAGCTCAGTTATCTAATCGAATCCTTAATGTCCCAACGCATTTAAAAACGACACGTGCGTAATTGAAGTGCCCTCTGTGTTCACTGCCCTCTGTGCTCCACGCTGAGCTGTTCAAAGTGCTTTCTGTGCTATTGAGATGCAGGCAAGATGCAGGGTTAGAAATCTTGCTGGGAGATCATTAGTATTCCACTTAGTCTACGCCTATTCTGCCAGCGCTGCAGGGGTGCAGCCGCCCTGAATACTAATGGAAGCTATACACATGTGTAGAAGGAGGGGGGAAAGGCCTCCAAGCCTCCTCCGTGTGTACCAAAAACAGAGGGGCCACACAGGTTCATTCAGTGGCCGCGGGAAGGGGCCCGCCTCCTGTTCCCACGCACCTTCACTTGTACTGAGTCAAAGGCGTTGGAATAAATGAAATGTGCAGGCACTTTAAGATCCCAGTTCATTAAATAGGCCAGACCCTCAGCAGGGGCAGAACTGTTGTCTTCCATGGAACTCCACAAAGTTGCATTTACTCAGGTTCCAGTGCTACACATGTGGGAATGAGAATGGCAGGTCGCTGCTGTGATACGTAGCATGTTAACCCTTCTCCCGGTAGCCCGCAGAAGCCCCATAGCTGTGTTATGGGGTGGCCAGTCCTGACCAGGGCTCTAGACTGGAACAGTCTGTGTATACCCCATGTCTTGAGCATGCAGGGGCTGAGCCTTGGGCCCCCTGGGGCTAGAGGAGGATGCGAGTGTGAATGGCTCACAGTGGCTCTGGGGCTTTCTTTGCAGAAGAGTGTGAAGGAGGGGCTGTTACTGAAGCAGACAAGCTCCTTCCAGAGGTGGAAGAGGCGATACTTCAAGCTGCGGGGGCGGACACTGTATTACGCCAAGGACTCCAAGGTAGGATAGCCTCCAGCTGTTCCCAGGTGCTTGGGGAGGGAAGGGGACTTTTTACACTCCTTGGGCCCATGGGAACTGCACATATGACAGCTACTGTCTTGACTGGCCTAGCAGGGATTGAATCAGGGGCCACCAGAGCTAAAAGCATGAGCTAAAGAGCCAAGGCTCACTCCTTGAGCTGGAACTCTTTTGTCCTGTGTGGATTGGGGTCATTTACTTTCACCAGTAGTCTATGGTCTCACCTAGGCCACTAGAGTCTGAGCATCCCTTTTGCTTTCCCGGGGACCCCAAACCCTGTGGCAGTTGGAGGACACTCCATTGCTAATCCAGTGTGTTGGAGCTTGGAGCTCTGCCATCCAGTTGGGGTGCTCAGACGTCAAACCTGGGGGGCTACTTTTCACTTCTTTCCAGGCCTCTGAGGTCTTGGTCACCTTTACACTCCCACTGGGCCAGCTGTTTCTGAGCTAAGAAGCCATACAAAGACTGAATGGACTAGAAGCATTTTTTCCCCTGCACATACATGTGGGCATGCATGGACACAGACAGGCTCACAGGCAAGCCAGCCTCTGAAACCTACAGCCAGCTCACAGGGGAGTTAATGTGTTCATTCTGTCTTCAAACACCTACACTCTGGCTTATTAATACAGATTGTCAGAATGTGGCCACCAATGACAGATCTCCCTGAGGCCGTTCTTCTCCTGTCACAGATGCCAGTTTCTATGTCAGGAGCAGTCAGTTGCTTGCCAGCCCATCAGAAGATGGGTGTACAGCAAACGGAGCAAACAGAAATTTCCCAGCCTCTCTAGCACACAAGACAGGTCTCCTCTAGAGAGGACGGCTTAGGAAAACTAAGCATTCAGAGGTGGAAGGCTGTAGTCCAAGGTAGGATCATCCTTTCTGTGTGCTTTCCAGGCCTTGGCTCAGCCTAATTTTTAAGGATGAGGGGTTTCAAAGGCACTTGTCACTGACCTGACTCCACTTCCAGGTACATCAATGGGAGCAAAGTTGGGCTGATTTTAAAGGCGTGGAAAAGCCCACCCTAAACAGTGGCAGTTAGCTGTGTTCACCTGAACTTAGGCAGAAGATGAGGCAGGGTGACCCCTTAGAGTCTAAGTGTCAGGGACACTTTCATAGGCAACAACCTACTTCATCAAATGTTATGAATGATTTTATTCCTAGCATCGGGCAAAGTAGGTTACTGCTTACAAAAGTTCACACTGCCCATAACAGTATCAGAGAGGCTTCCTTCCAGCTTTGCCTTTGAGTCTCTGCTTGGTGATGCAATAGATTCTCCCTCTCCGTTAAGAAAAGGGACTGTACTACAGGCTGGTAGATCCTTTGTAAAACCATTTGTGTGCACGGATAGCATCCAGCCTCTCTTGTCTTTTGCTCATCTTCCCAGGTGAGTGATCCATCATTCACTGGAATGATAGGCTTGCTCACTTCCTCAGGAGGGAGAGCCCTGAAGTCATCATGAAAGCAGCTCTGAGAGCTGATGCTAATGGATTATCCATCTATAGCAGATTTCACCTGTAAGCCATGTCCTTTTGGGGCATGACTAACCGTGTCCTGGTTCCCATTTGCTCTCTCAAGTATGTGCAACTAGTTTTCAGCTCCTGGGAGTGCCCTGTAAATGGTTGTACCTGTCTGTGTGGTGCCTCTGAACTGCTGTGAGAACTAACATGGGGTTCTGGGCTGCATCAGGGGAGTGACTGAGCAAATCACTCAGCACTATTCCTCTGACATTCCTTCCCACTAAGGGATGTATATGATAGTGGAATCAACAGTGATTTTTTGGAGCCACCAGCCTGCTCAGGAAGCTTGGACCATTTTTGCCATGTGCATCACATCTCACTTAGCCAGGCTGAATGCCTTCTGTAGTTTAAAATGATTGGGAAAACTGTGTGTAGCAGTCCCAGCTACAACAGGCCTCATGCCAGTCACTTGCCAGACCATCAGAGATGAGTGTACAGCAAGTTTGGAAGTCACGCTAGCTTGGGAGCTGAGAGCTGCCAGTTTGTATCTTGACTGCAACTGATTTACTAACACAGTCCAGTCCACTCTGGATTTCTGGCACTACAGTATAGGGCACCTCTATTGGCAAAGCCCCTTAGTGAAGATGCAGCATATGCAGACAGGTGCTTTTCTGCAGGGGTTAATATACTGTCTCTACAAACAATATGGACTAAGCTGTCAAAAGCATTACTCTCTTGGTGTAGTTGCAGCCCCACCGAGTTTTGCTAGCATTGCAGTGCTGGTGTGGAGGTATGGGTCCCTCCTTCCATATTCCTAGAGGACATAGCTGTACTTGGTAGAAGATAGGACAGCTGGTGCTTTAGAGACTAAGTGGTTCAGAGAGGCATGAGCTTTCATAGGCAACCACCTACTTCAGGAGACGCTAGCAAAAAATTGTAGTGAAGACCTGGTCTCTGCCTCCCGTCCCTGCTCTGTAGAAATGAAGGTACAATTGGGGTTCACCCCAAGGTGAAACTTAGTATATCAAACCATTTGAGATTCATCGATCTATGGCATCCCTGTTTTGTGTTCTTACTTCTTCAGGTGTTGAATAGGTATTTAGGTTACCTGTCCTGATCCAGTCCCTTCCCCAGGAACCACTGCCTTCTCTTGAGGAACATCCATTTACTGTGACTTTTGGATCCCTTTTGCTTTTGCCAGGGATATATCACAAGACTTACCTCACAGGCTCCTTATGTTCCTTAAGAATGTTTTTGGGACCTCATCAAGAGATGCATGAAAACTCAAGAAGATTGTTCCCCCTCAGGCCATAGTCATATAGCATTTAATTAGCATTCCCCAAAACTGGCTCCTCAGAGACACTATTCCCCTGACAGAGATGTTGATTGATCCCAAGCATGTTATACTGGCTAATGGTCTAGAAAATGACCTGAGTTTTATCTTCTGGCTGCTTGGGGACCCCCTAAATTAGAAGGGCCTCTCAGCCCCCATGTCAGTTTTCCCAGCATTAGGAGAAAGGGAAGTTCCCTTGTTTATTATTTCTAGGTCTTTATCTTGAGGTAGAGTGAGGCCCCCTGTAAATACTGTCTCAGTCTTCTGGTCCAATTGTTGATACTTCTGCTTGTTCACCTTCTCCTTTTTCCTCCCCACAGTCACTGATCTTTGATGAGGTGGACCTGTCTGATGCCAGCGTGGCAGAGACGAGCACCAAGAACATTAACAACAGTTTCACAGTAAGTGCTGGTACCAACCAGCCAGTCACTGGGTTTGATTGTGTAAGTGGAGATGCTCACATTGACTTCCGTGGGCTTTGGCTGAAGCTCTGGCCACTATTAGAGTTGCCTACTGAAGGTACAGGTAGAAGAGTTCTGTTGCCCACCATAGAGCTTCCCAGAGCAGTCTCTTAAAGCTAGCTTGCCGCCTGTGGTCAGTTGATCCCTGATACAAGAGATGAATTGCTCTTCCGAACCAGATGCTCCATGTCGCTTCCAACATCACCTCTTGCTGGGAGAGCCTGGAAGCCAAGTAATTGTGAGACATGCAGCACTTGTTGAGTGACATTGATCCCTATGGCATGTAGGGTGTAAGTGGCATGCAAGCCTTGGGTCTGTCTTCTGAAATGATGAATAAATTTCACCAATGATGACTACTGCTGGAGGAGCCTGGTCTGCACATGATGAACGCTCTTATCCTGGCCCCCCGAGACACTTCTGCTGGGCTCCAAGGCCTGGACTCCCACCTTGTTCTCCACTGGAAGTCTTTCTAGAACAGGTCACACCCAGAGTGTGTCCAGCCATCTCCAACTGCGGCAGATCCACTCAGAACCACTGGCAAAGTTCACCCCCAAGCGTCAGCTGAGTTGTACAGGAGATGTACTCAACCCACTGCATTGCCAGGGGCCAATTCTGCACCTACTGAGGTCATTGGGAGTTTTGCCACTGACTTCATTAGGAGCAGGATTGGACCCTGGAGCAAATTTAATTTAGCTCAGGGATGTTCAGCGGGGCCCACGGACCAAATCCAGCCCATGGAGTCATGGTGTCCAACCTGCAGGGTACTCTATGGGTCAGGAAATTTGGTGGTAGGAGAGCAGTGGCAATTAGTACTGCTACCTCTCCCCTGCTACCAAATTCCCAAGTCCTGTACAGTGGGGTTAGGGCTGGGCTGTGCCCCCTTTCCCCTGTGCAGCCAAGTTGGGGCTGGGCCACACCCCCCACTCCCCTCAGTGTAGCCAAATCAGGCCCTGGTGAGCCTGTCCCATGTGCTAGTGCCTGGATGGACCAGGTACTGTCCACCTGGCCCATGGGGCAAGAAGGTTGGGCACCACTGATCTAGCTGGTAACACAGGTGTAATGTACAGTGGGACAGAATTCCAGGCTGTGGCTGGATGGCATCAGGAAATAAATGTTAGCAAATGGGAACTGTACCCCTGTCTCAGACTGCCTCCCTCTGGGTCAGTAGGGATCAGAAGTGAAAGAACTAAAAATTGGCTTGTGTACCTCCCTGGGACAGAGTGCGAGTATGGTGCTTCTTGCTCCCTAGAGTTGGGTGAAAAACCTCTGATCTCTTGCCAGGTTTGACAACCATAAGGGGTGTAAGTGTCTGACAGCTCTGTCTGAGTGGTATGGATTGTGTTCTGGGTTGCACTGACTGTGGAGTCTCACAGCGAGCCAGGAGCCTGTGCAGCCTTTGCAGCTGGCTCAACAGTGCAGTTTTCTTCTCTAGGTGATCACACCATTCCGAAAACTCATCCTGTGCGCAGAGAACCGGAAAGAGATGGAAGACTGGATTGGTGCCCTCAAATCGGTCCAGAAGTGGGAAATCAATGAGGTAAGTGAGTGTTGGCACAGAATCCCTACCACAGACCCAGCTGGCAAATCAGCCCTGTGAGTGGGCGAGTAACACCAGGGAACAATGAGATCATTGCTACGTTCCTCAAAGGCCCAGGGTACAGATTGTCATGAGGCAGGGGGGCTTAGTGTGCTAGGTATAAGATGCTTGAATGAGAACTTACTCTGAATAGATGTGCTTGTGAACAATTAGATAATTGCTCCATGTATTATTTGTGTGGCAGTAGTGTCGTGGAGCCTTAGGTCTGAACCCTGGTCTGCCCTACTAACCACTACCTCATGCTCCTTGTCCATGTGGGCACCAACAACACAGCAAGAAGTAGCCCTGGGATGATCATGAACGACTACGGGACCATGGAGGTGCAAAGCTCAAGGACCTAGGAGTGCAAGTTGTCTTCTCCGCAATCCTCCCAGTTGGGGGCCATAGCCGTTGGAGGGAGGAGTGTATCAAGGAGGTCAGCTGAAGGCTATGGTGTCAGCATGTGGGCTTTGGATACCTTGACCTTGGTACGCAGTTTAACTAAAGCAGCCTACGTGCAAGGGGCAGTATTCATCACGCAAGCAGAGAGAAGAGGCTCTTTGCCATGAGAGTTGCTGATTTGTTGAGGAGAGATTTAAACTAGGCATATCTGGGGTCTGAGGAGAAGGTTCCACTGCTGAAGCAGAATCCACTAGCCACAATGATACACGGCAGGGCATTCAAACAATGGATATCCAGATGGGTACTGACATCTTGAGGCAGAGACATTGTGACATAAAACCTGAGGTGACTAGGGGAGAGCTCAGATACCTTTATGGGAATGCCAGAAGCGTGGGAAATAAACAGGAGAAATTGGCACTCCTTCTGGCTGATGAGGAATTTGACTTGATTGGGTTGACAGAGATGTGGTGGGATGATACACATGACTGAGCAGCAAATATTGAATGTTACAGACTTTATAGGAAGAATCGGATTGGGAAGAAGGGAGGAGGTGTGGCCCTCTATGTGAAAGAGCAGTACCCCTCCCGGCAGGTCACCTTTGACAGAAGAGAAGGGTCCCTTGAGACCCTCTGGGTCAGGCTACAAGGGGGACCAGGAAAAGGAGACCTGATGGCGGAAATCTACTACAGGTCTCCCTTCCAAGAGGAGGCGAGCGATTGCACATTCTTAAGAGAACTGACAAAGGCAGCTAGCACTAGAGATATGATAATCAGGGGCAGCCCACAGTCAATGCCCACGAAAAGTTAGAACTCCTAAATACACAGTTTGCATTGGTATTCCTAAAACCCAACAGGGGCTGTTCTCCTGACCAGAGGCCCAGGGAACAGGGAGAAGGTAACATGAAATCAGCCCAGAACAGATGAGGGATCTTCTACAACGCTTGGACATTTTCAGGTCTGCTGGTCCTGATGACCTGCACCCAAGAGTCCTGAAAGAACTGGCTGAACTTATAGCCACTGGCCAAGCTGTTTGAGTAGTCATGGAACTCGGGAGTGGTCCTGAATAACTGGAAGAGGGCCAATGAGGTGCCTGTCTTTAGGAAAGGGAAGAGGGATGACCCCGCAAACTACAGACTGGTCAGTCTGACCTCGGTCTGGGTAAAATATTTGAAAAGCTGGTTAAGGAGGGCATCAACTACAAGCTGGTGATGGATGGGGAGCTAAAAAGCAACCAGTGTGGCTTTGTCAAGGGTAGATAATGTCTGATGAATCTTGTGTCCTTCTACAACCAGGTAACTAACCATCTGGATAAGGGACTTGAGGTTGAAGTCATCTATGTAGACTTTAGTAAAGCTTTTGACTCTGTCTCCCAAGGGATTCTCTCTAACAAACTGGAGAGTACTGGGTTGGACCAGACTACAGTGGGGTGGGTGGACAACTGGCTTAGAGGCTGCTCCCAGAGAGTGGTGATCACTGGGGTAGCCTCATCCTGGAGGGCCATCTCCAGTGGTGTCCCTCAGGGATTGGTGGTTGGACCAATGCTATTCAATATTTCCTTAACGACTTGGATGAGGGGGTGGAAAGTGCAATGATTAAGTTTGTGGATGATACCAAGCTGTGGGGAAATGTGGGCACATCAGCTTATAGAGCAAAGATCCAGGATGACTTTGACAGACTGGATTTATGGGCAGAATGAAATCAGATGAGGTTTCGTAGATGTAGGGTCAGAGGGGACCTGAGCAGATCATCAAGTCCAACCCCCTGCCCTGGGCAGAAATGAATACTGGACTTATATGTCGCCCACTAAGTTAAGCTCATATGACCCCAGCTAGGTAGTAATCAAGCCACCATTTAAAGACACCCAAGGTAGGAGCCAGCACCACTACCCTTGGAAGCTGGTTCCAGATCCTGGCCGCCCTGACTGTGAAGTGGTGCCTTCTGATATCCAGCCTGAACCTACTCTCAATCTGCTTGTGGCCATTGTTCCTTGTTACTCCGGGAGGCACTCGGGGAAACGGGGTCTCACCCATTTCCCTCTGGTCCCCCCTGGTAAGTTTATAGCCTGCCACTAGATCCCCTCTCAGCCTTCTCTTGTGGAGGCTGAGCAGGTCCAGGTCCCATAGCCTCTCCTTGTAGGGCCTGCCCTGCTGCCCCCTAACCATGTGAGTGGCCCTCCTCTGGACCCTCTCCGTGTTGTCCACATCCCTCCTGAAGTGTGGCGCCCAAAACTGGATGCAGTACTCCAGCTGCAGCCTGACTAATGCCGCGTAGAGGGGGAGGATCACCTCCTTCGACCTGCTCGTGATGCATCTGTGGATGCATGAAAAGGTGCAGTTAGCCTTACTGGCTGCATCCTCACGTTGGTGGCCTGTGTACATTTTGGAATCAGTAATGACTCCAAGATCCCTTTCTGCCTCGGTGCTGATGAGAAGGGAGTACCCCAGCCTGTAGGCATGCTGCTGGTTCTTTCTCCCTAGGTGCAGCACCCTGCACTTATCAGTATTGCATCCCATCCTGTTCTCATCCACCCACCCCTGTAACCTGTCCAGATCTAGTTGTAGCCTGTCCCTCCCTTCTAGCATGCTCACCTCTCCCCACATCTTAGTGTTGTTCACAAATTTGAACAAGTGGGGGTATGGTGGGGTATGCATGGGAGCCCCTGCATGCACCCCCTTGAGCCGGGCATCACCTGCCCCTGCCACTCATGAGCCTAGAGCCGGCTCACCCTGAGGCACCTCCCCGCCAGCAGCTCACAGCCCCATCCCCACCCCAGGCCCACTCCCAACTCACCCTGGCAGAATTGGATCAACTGGCACCTGGGCACAGCCCCGACCTGCCTGCTCCATACTGCCTGCCCGTGGTGTGTCCTGCCACCCACAGTGGGGCTGGGGCAGCTGCACAGCTGGACTGCCTTTCTAGGCAGATCGGGCGATGGCAGCTTCTTGCATCTGCCAGATACATGACAAGGTATGATTAGTCTTGCTGACTGCGTCCTCACATTGTCGTCCCATGTTCATATTAGAATCAATAATGACTCCAAGATCTCTTTCTGCCATTGTGCTTTTGAGACGGGAGTTCCCCAACCTATAGGTATGCTGCTGGTTCTTACTGCCCAAGTGTAGTACTCTGCACTTGTCAGTATTGACTCCCATCCTATTCTCATTCGGTCAACCCTGTAACCTGTCCAGGTCCTGTTCTAGCCTGTCCCTCCCTTCTAGCGTGCCCACCACACCCCAAATCTTGCTGTCATCAGAAAATTTGAACAGGGTGCTTTTCACCTCCTCATCCAAGTTGCTGATAAAGAAATTGAACAGTAAGGGCCTGAGGACCAAGCCCTGGCGGACTCCGCTGCCCACCTCCGTCCGGGTCTAATATGACCCATCCACCACCACTCTCTGGGTGTGTCCCCCTAGCCAATTTGCGACCCATCTGACTGTGTAGGTATCAATGCCAGTCACTTAGCTTTTTAATGAGAATGGGGTGGGAGACGGTATCAAAGTCCCTCCTGAAGTCCACTGTGACACCTGCGTCCAATGATTTTATGACCTGATCCTAGAAGGCTATCCGGTTGGTCTGACAGGACCTGCCCTTAATGAACCAATGCTGGTTGCCCTTGAGCTTCCCCCCCTCTGCTGGTCCCTCCCAGATGTGCTCTTGGATAATTTTTTTAAAGAGTAGCCTATAGTTGCCTGGGTCCTCCCTCCTCCCTTTTTTTAAGATGGGGACCACATTGGCCTTCTTCCAGTCTTCTGGCACCCGGCCAGAGCACCACAAGTGCTCGTGAAGCCATGCCAGGGGCCCCACGATGACCCCTGCCAGTTCTCTCAGCTACCTAGGGTGGAGAGCGTCTGGACCTGCTGATTTGAACATGTCCAGCCCCTCCAGAAGTTCCCTAACTCAGTCCTCCCTGACTCTAGGCCTAGCAAAGTCACTCTTGAGTCCATCCTGAATCCCGGTGGGGGAGATGTCCTGGTCCCTGCTCAGAAAAATGGAGGCAAAGGATTTGTTAAAAAGGTCTGCTTTTTCATCTGGTGCAACCACCAGATTGCCAAGTGTATTCTGCAGGGGTCCCACATTGCCTAGTGCCTTCTTTTTACTCCCTATGTATTTAAAAAAGGACTTTTTGTTTTCCTTGGTCCTTGTTGCTAGCCCTAGTTCCATCCCCACCTTGGCTTTCCTAACAGCCTCCCTACAGACTCTTGCTATGGAGGTATAATCCTCTTTGGTGATAGCCCCCCCACTTTCATTGGATTTACGCCCCCTTTTTGGCTTTCAGACATTCCTGAATGCCTTTGGTGAGCCATGGTAGTCCTTGTAGTCCTTCATGATGCGGTCTGGATTGCCCCTGGCCGCGTCATTTGTTCCCACATGGATTAGGACCATGGGGTACTGGTCCAAGGGTCAAATGAAGGCCGGGATCCTCTCTGTGACATCCTGAATCTGAGCCCCAGGCAGGTAGCAGACAAGTTTCTTCCTCCTGGTGCTCCCTCTCTGTGCCGTCTGTGTCTTGCGCGGAGTGGCACCCCCCCCCCCGACACATCCTCTTCATCCTTCTCCTCCAAGGCTGCCAGAGCCTCATATCTGTTTTCGAGTTGTACCTGGGGAGCCTTCACCACGTTAGCCCGAGCAGCCCTGGGTCTGGTGGGCACCTGCCACTCCTCTGCTGTGTGTCTCTCCTGAGGGGTCTGTATGCAGGACAACTGGTCCTGCAGTGAACAGAAATAGGTGTCAATCTCATCCTTTGCAGCCCTGATCCCCCACAGCCTGCTCACCTCAGCCTGGAGCACACCCACCTGCTCCTCCAGAGCCCAAAGTCGGGCACAGGAGGGACAGGCGAGGGAGACACCAGACCCCTCTCCCAGCACAGGCCTCTGGGTCCCCACCAGGCCACCCCCACAGACAGTGGGGCAGGGGGCTACCGACCCCACCATGAGCTCTGTTTGGGTGGAGGCCTCAGGAGGCCAGGGTAGGTGGTGCCACCAGGGTGGGACCCCTAGCAGCTGCACTCCGCGTCCTTACCATGTCCATGGATCTGTGTGTCTCACTCTCTCACTTGCTGGAGGCTTCCGGTTACTGCTGCGTGCCCGCCTTGTGCGAACGCTGGCTTAGATCCTCCCTCTTCAGGTCAGTGGCAACAAGGCTGTTCAGTAACAGTGCAATGAGTGATCTTTGGCTCATAACATTCTGTGGAAGATATGATCCTATTAATGGTGATGACCCATAGACAGTTGTAGTGCACGTAGGGGTCTTCTTCATGACCAGACCCTGAAGAAAGTGACATTTGAAATGTAGTGAAATAAAACCTTAGACAGGTTTGAGATTGGGAGGAGGCTGGGGAGCAGGGGAGAGCTTGGGAAACGGGCCAGAAACATGGGAAAGTAGATGGGAGAGGAGACAAGGTACCAGGTGTTGAAGAGATGTGTCTCTGTTATGAATGCGGACTAAAAGAGACTAGAGACCTAGGGGGGATACATGATTCCCTGCAGTCACTCTGCCAAACCCAAAGCTCAGCTGGCCTGCAGACACTAGAGCAGTGGTCTCCAGCATTTTTATGGTGAAGATCACTTTTTGGCACCCCAGGATCTACCACACCTCCCCTGCCCTCCCGCCTCCTGGACAAGCTGCCCCGGCTCTGACCCCACTCACCCAACCCAGCCTGGGTGGCAGGGGACATGGCTCAGTCCAGCCGTGTGTGTCCTGCCGCTCCCAATCGTGAAACCTCTGACAGACTGAGATTGACTATCAGAGGCTCCATGATCGACCAGTCGATCGAGATCGACTGGTTGGTGACCACTGCATTAGAGGATAGTTGTTTATAAAGAGGAATTCCTGCTACAATCTTCAGGCTGGGCCCATGGCTACATTTTCTTCTGGAGAAGAGTCATTGGCTGGATTGCATATTCAACATCCTAATTCAGCATGCCATTGGGAGCTGCCATCCTGGCAGTCTGATAGGAACAAGGACACCATCCCACCCCAGTGCATGAGAAGACAAGTGTCATAATCCTTGCATGGTCCCCTTGTCTTTTGGAATTGTTAATGCACCAGCAGTGAAGTAATTCAGATGGTGGCTGGCTCAGCTGAGATTGTTGAGGAGGGTGTTTGTGATGGGAATGGTTCTGCCATTTAGATTCTGGTCCCCCAAATCTAGACTGGGAATCCCCATGACTCACTTGCGTCTTTGGGAAAAGCAACCAGGGTTGTACCTGCTCAGCTGGTCTTTGAGCAAGTGACTTAGAAGAGGAAAGATCCCTGTGTCACTCTCCAGCCCTGAAGCTGGCCAGGCAGGGTGTTCACCAGCTGGGCATATCTGTCCTTCTGTTGCCCTTTCTGTTCCCATGATACTACAGTGCTCCCCATTTATGTGGTGACTGTAACTGTAAGGTGGCAAGGTAGTACAGAGCAAAGGCTCATTGTCTCAGCTGCCCTGGGCCCTCCATTGGCTGTCAAGAGTGGGGAGTCACCATTTTCCCCTGGGTTTGGTCTCCTGGCTGTGCTGCCTTTCTGTCTCACTTCTGGATGCATTTCCATTCTGCTTGATCTTACAGGCCACGCAGTTCAACATGGAGCACTTCTCTGGCATGCACAACTGGTACGCTTGCTCCCATGCCCGGCCCACCTTCTGCAACGTGTGCCGGGAAGCCCTGTCTGGGGTCACCTCCCATGGCCTCTCCTGTGAAGGTATGCACTCAGCTGCTTCCTGTTCAACAGGTAAAGCTAGGAGTGGGGGGTGGGAAGGTGGGTCTGACTTGGAAGTAAGCAGGGTAGGGAATTCTTGCCAAAACCTAGCTGACTAGCTCAGGTGAGGCCAGCTCCTGGCTACTTGCCTGGCAGGCAGGAACCCAAGGATAGCTGAAGCTAAACCAAGGTGCTAAACAAGTCAGAAGGGTGGAGTTTGAGAGAGAAGTAGGGGCATGAATGGTGAGAAAATAAGAATTGCTGGACTGGTTTGGCTAGGGGTCCTGGCACTACTACAGTGATTCTCAACCAGGGGTTCTTTGAGAACCTTTGAAGGGTGCTGCAAGGTGTGAAGGGTGCCTCAGGTCCAAAAAGACTGAGAACTACTGCTCTAGTATCTTGCCTCTGAGGGGGTCTAGGACCAGCTGTTTCAGAAGTTGATGCAAGGCACTCTGTAGGATGGAGGATGTTGTTGGAATGGGTGCTGATGTCCATGCTAGGGTTCTGGTACCTGTGCTATTAGGTGATCATGATGGGTAGCCTCCTGTGGTCTTGTAGTCAATGTCCAGTGTCCTCAAAGGAAACAGGATCATACCGAAAGGACCTAGTAGATTCTTGAGCAGTGCAAATTGTGTGCCTAGGGGAACCCATTACACTTGCTTGAAATTGCCATTTCTCTTCCTTCTAGTTTGCAAGTTCAAGGCCCACAAGCGCTGTGCTGTGAGAGCCACCAACAACTGCAAGTGGACAACACTGGCCTCCATAGGAAATGAAATCATTGAGGATGAAGATGGGGTAAGCACCTTCTCCTTCCCTTCGCTATCCTGTGCCAGGAAGGGGGCTGCCTTCACAGCCCTCCACAAAGCTGGTACAATTGCATGTGAGCAAGAATCTTCATGGCTAGGTATTGTGTTAGCAAACTCTTCAAAACTAAGGGCCAAATGCTTTCAGCCACAACCTCCATGTGCATGCTGAGGCCTGTTTTAGTGGGCAAAACTGCAGGATATTGGAGGGAACTGAACTGAGGAAGTTAGGCTAAAGTGACTGAATTCTTTCAGTTACCTGGGTACAAATCGGGAGTAACAACTGCACTGCAGTCAGGTTTAGTGAGAGAAGAACCTGGTTCAGGATTGGGAATGATTCCGTAATGAGAGGAGCCACCTCTTGGGAGGTCCATGGGTTGAGAATAAGATGGATGGCAACGAAAAGAATATACTGTAGGGAATCACCCCAACAAAGGAAGGATGAAATGCCCTGTCCCACGAGCCATCTTCATTTCCATATTGATCAAATCCTATTGGCCTTCTCCAAACACCGTCCCTTCTGAGTGTTTGAGCAGAGTGAGGACAACTTAAATACAATTCAGAGATGCTCACTCATCAGCAGTAAATCTCTCAGCCTCAAGGGAAAAAACCCTGCCCTAAGCTACTTGGTCAGGGTGGTAATACCCACCCTCCCTCCTGGGCCTGTACTTCAGCCATGGCTGAGCCAAACCCCTGTATAGACAGGGAGGGTACATGGGGGATGATGCTTCCATGCCAGTGAGGAGCACAGAGTGAACCTTGGCACCCATGGTAGTGGAGAGGAATTGTAGAGCCATGACTGGTCAAGCCTCAAGGACTTGTATTCCCTTAGTCAGCGGCAAAGCTCTGTTTCCTAATCAGAGTATTTGCTTGGCACTTCTCCAACATTCTGGCATTGGTCCTTCATAAAACAGGACAAAGCAGATCCAGTAGACAAGCAGATTAAAAGCATTGCATCGGCCTGCTGTGCCAAGAGCCCTCAGAGAGCAGCCTGGGCTTAGTGAATCCAGGCTGGGCATGTTGAACATGGCCTCATCCAGCATGCAAGCTCACAGGCAATGTCATGCTGGCAGGGAGGTGGGGGGACCTCTGCAGCGCTGGCACTTGTGCTGTTGTGAAACCCTTCCAGATTGGCTTGCTTTGCCCTGGCTGCCAGTAACACCCTGTTCCCAAAGTGCTGGGCTCCAAGGAGGAAGGCAACTCAGATATTGCTGATTTATCTGTCCCTAGAGACCTCCTCAGGCAGGGCAGTGTGGGTTATACAGGGTGGGGGTAGCACACATCTAAAGTTTCTTGTCTTCCCTTCCTTGATGAAAAGATGGTGATCATCAGCTGCTCATCTTTGATGCTCCTTGAACTAGATGGAGGGTTCTCTTCTGCAGAAACTACTGGGTATCATGGTTTCAGCTCAGTGGCCTGTGCAGATGGCGTTAGAATTATGAGGGATTACACTGGGCAAGCCTAGCTGGGCAAGTTAGTCATTGCAGGTGCAGCTGACTTTCTCTGGTTACTTTCAACCAGTGGAATTACCTGCAAAGTAGTTACAGGTGCAAGGCTGGTTCAGTGAAAGCCATGCTGAAAACTCAAATCCTTTACAAAGGAAAGTTTCCTCTCTCCCCACTCCAACATCTGTGGATGCAGTATGTCACAGTGGGGCCTATGATACTGAGGGGGCATATCTATGCAAGAACCCTGCAGCTCTTGTTGAACCCTTCACTGAAAATCTCAGAGCACTGCAAAGGGTTCTCTGGTTTAGGCCTACTCTGCAGGATCCAAAAGTCATCTTTCTGTCTCTTGTTGTTTTCCTCAGTGGAGACACTGAGGTATAGAGGTAAAGTGATGTGCCCAAAGTAGCTTGGCAGGCAGGGCTGGATTAACCCTTTAGTGGTCCCTAGGTAAACAAACTTGTGGGCCCCTACTTTAATACTGTATATTTATATTACTTTTTCCTGCTCGATAATTATAATATGTAAAATAAGCACAGCTGGGCCCCTTCTTCACTTAGGGCCCTCGGTATGTACCTGGTTTGCCTATACATTAATCCAGCCCTGCTGGCAGACTGGTGACAGAACTAGGAATCAAGCTCCTGAGTTTCTGGCTTGTGATTTAGTGTCCAGATGGTGCTGTTTTGGAGCTGTGAGCCAGGCAGTTTCTTTGCCCTTGTTGACCCATTGTCTGTCTCTCTGCAGGTGGCCATGCCCCATCAGTGGCTGGAGGGGAACCTGCCCGTGAGTGCTCGGTGTGCTGTGTGTGACAGGACCTGCGGGAGTGTCCGGAGGCTGCAGGACTGGCGGTGCCTCTGGTGCAAGGCCATTGTAAGGACTTCTCTCCCCAACCCCCTGTTCCATCTGCTCCTGGCTCTTTTCCCATGCTGATCCTGCTGTTATCAGAGTGCCCAAGCCTCCTTGGTTAAGTCCCTATACAGCCACCACATGTTGGAAGCCCTTCTCAAATGCAGTTTTGTGGCTGTATAGCTGCAGTGCGCTTCGCATCCCACCCAGCACCATTGCAGCCCATTATAAATACATACCCTTGGCTACTGATGGCCACTTTCTGTTGCAGAAAAGGGGTCACTTTGCTCAGGACTGTGGTGCTGGATCCTTAGGCAGCCTAGGCACTCCAGAATGTTGGTAGCGGTGATCCAGAACAGTTGTGAATCTTAGAGAGACACAAGTCATAGACTCAGATTTCAGCCCTTCCCATCCAACACACCCACACAAGGTGGGGGTTGGGAAGTAGAGGTTGGTTTATGCCCACTGCCTCCTGGGGTTGTGTTTATCTTGATCACTCTCTAAGAACATTAATGAATCAGCCCTTTGCCTGTGTATTGTGGCTACAGAGGAGAGGGCAGTGGCTGAAGGTTGGACAAGGCAGTAGCAGAGCTGTCACTAGAACCCAAGTTCCTTGTTCCAGCTGCTTGATGCCTGTTTGCAGAGATGATCAGAGCAGGGTGCAGGGCCCAGGGCAAAGCAGCCTGCGTGGGGCCACCCTCCCCATCCCATGGCGCATTTATGCTGAGGAGTGAAAGCCCCGGCACACCGGGTGTGGCGGGATGGGTGGCAGCCGAAACTTCTGGCTGGAACAAGCAAAGAGCCGTCCAACCCCCTGGGTGGGTGGGTGCACTAAACCGTAGCCGCAGCCTCTCCACCCGGCTCTGCAGGGCTCCCCAAAGCATGGGGCCCAGGGTGTTTGCACCAATTCGCCCCCACCCAGGAATGGCCCTGCCTGTTTAACTGGGCTGCTCACATTGGCCCCACACTACTCTGTTCCCTCCAGGTTCACAGTGCCTGCAGAGAGCTCTTTGGGAAGAAATGCCCCCTGGGACAGTATAAGGTCTCCATAATCCCACCCACTGCCTTGAATAGCATTGACTCTGATGGTGAGTACCAGAGCCAGAGAGATCTGGCAGTCACTCAGGCTGCAAGAGGGCCAGGGGTGTTGGTCGTTGGAAGGGTGCAGGGGCCAAGTACCTTCATTGGGCTGGGATCAGATGGCTGGGTGGTAAGGTCAGCTATCCACCAAGGCTCTGAATAACCCTGAATCCCACCAGTTCCAGCTCTACTGATCTGTCTGTGCCATGGAGGTCAGAGATGTGCTTAGATGGAGAGACCCAGAAAGTGGGTCTGCTGGGTCAGCCCATCTTTCAAGAGGGATTCTTAACAGGGTCTTAACCCTGTTGATCCAGGGTTAAGACCAGGCTGCAGTACATTCCTGTGTTGCTAACAGAAATATAAGCCCTGCGCTGCCCTGCTGGTTTGATGGAGACATAGGGAAGCAGCTACAGGCCATGGGGGCAGGAGGCTGCACAGCAGTAGCTCAGTCCAGCAACACCGGAGCTCCAGTGAAATGTGCCTAACCCCTTCAGTACCTCACCTGCCACAAGCAGTGCTGACTTCCCAGGCCAGTGAAACCATAGTCATTGGCTGATCAGGGGGAATTCCTTTGTATGGGAAAGGACTTGGAATGGGAAATGCCTGCAGTGTGGTGCTGGACAGTTCTCGCTGGGAGCTCCTGCTTATCTCATGTGCTGGGAAAGAACAGCAGAAGCAGGTCTCCGATTTTTGCCTGTGTCCCCTGCTGCATTAGCACAGCCAGGCAGGGCTCCTGCTCCAGGATAGTGCATCACCCCCTGTCCCTTTCTACCAGATTCCTTGAGTCGTCCCTTCCTCCCCTGCCTCTGTCCTACTAGACAGTTCGTTGGCCAAACCACAGGTTGGGTGGAGCCCTGGGGTTCTCTGATAGTCACCAAGGCAAAACAGGTGGGGAAATCCCAAGCTGGTTGACCAGACTTGTGGCTCCTCCATAGGTTCTTTCTTTGTAGCATCCAGGTATCTGGTCCCCCTCTTCTTCTTGATACTCTGGGCATTGGGTAGAAACAGATTCTAAGCATGTTGCCAGGAGATAGAGGGAAGCATCTTTCACCTGCCTTGGAAGTCTGGTTCTCCAAGTGAGAGTGCATTTCCCTATATCTCTTTGGATGCTGTGCCATGTCATTGTTTGATTTCACGCTACCAGCAGGGAAAGCAGAACTCACTGTGTTGCAGATCTGTGAGCAGTGTGTGGCATGAACAGATAGAAACCAATTCTGTCTGAACAAGCAGCATTGTTTTTGGGATCCTATCCTGTCATCATTTCCATAGCTTGAGAGGTAATAACAATTCATCTTCACACCAGAGGGCACGTGCCTAGAACCCCTGTTTGGGAAAGGCATTTTTCCCGGCATGTCTACAGCAGGACATGGCCAGGCACATGCCTTACTTAATAGTAATGCTTGTGGCTCAGTCACCACTCAGAGCAAGAAAACCCTGTGCAGATGTAATAACAGGTACACAGAATTAACCAATGCTTTGAAATCCTTGGATGGCAGGTCTGAGCATCCAGCTAGTCCTTATAAATAATCAATGGCAGAAACAGAGAGAACTGTTCTGGGGCTGACACCATGTAACATGACATGGTTACAAAGCAACAGAGAAGTACATTTCACTTTAGCAAAGTTTCTCTTGCTTGACAATAGCATGCGTGATGAATCATGCTCCAGCACCCCCATATGACTAGCCTTTCTAATGAAGCCTAAGATGGTACCTGTCCCTGGAATGATACCACTGCACTAAATATTGCCTAACAATTGTTTGCCAATTGTTACTCCATGTCTTTCTCCCATGCTGGCCCTGATTCCCTACAGCTGCTTTTGTTAGTGGCTCTTATTCTGTGTGTGTACCTTGTACCTCACCTTGTACTTCAGCTCATTTTTATTCCTCTCACTCACCTCTTGCAGCCATGAATCATGGCTGTAGCCTGTGAAATATTCACAATATTCCTGCTTGTCCTTTTGTGCTAATCAGACTGACAGATTAATCTTTATCCAGATCTAGGGGAAATCTGTTAAACAGTCTTGGAGCTTGCAATAAAGCCTGAGGACTACCGATGAGTACAGCTTCTAGTCAGGACTTGCACAATCCCCGCTTCATTCTATTTTGCATCATCTCAGCTTTATCTTAACCAGCTTAGCTTCACTGGGAATTCATCTAGTGGCATACTGTTAAGTGTATATTTCCAAATCCTGGGCATATAATCTCTGCATCACCCTTGTCTATTGCTATATATCATCTATCTTGTCCTAGAATGCAGTTAGATTAGTTTAATGTGTTGGATTGGGACTTTATTTAGAAAATTCTGCTGGCTTTATATAGATCTTGGATTTCACCAGCGCTCCTTGACAGCTTGCCCATTCCATGGGCAACCCCAAATCAATGCTACCTGATCTCCAGGTCTGCTTTAGTGATAGCCTCACAGGAGCAGCAGGAGGAACTCTTTAATGGTGGGGAGGGCTTGTAGCCAGCTCCTCCAGCCCTTTTGAGAGGAGTCTGTCTGGGCCAAGGTGATCTAAATATGTTGTTCTCCTTCAGATGTTCGTTTGCTTGTTCTTTTAATAATTTCCGTTGCTTCTGTCATCTGGTGCCTCATCTGCTTCTCTTCTTACTCATGGGGACACTGTCAGGGTAACAGTCAGGCATTAAAAAAAAAAAAGAAAAAACCCCCAATTCTTTGGCCATGCAACTAATATATTGCCTGTCTCTGGTCTTTCTTACCTCCTCCCATACGCTGTATTCTGTCTAGGAGGACTGATGGTAGGGCTGTCCTCAGCCGGTATCATAGTGGGGGAAGGACTGGGCAAAAAGCTGCCTGTAGATGCAGCCCTTGGCACATGCTCTGTGGGAGGAACCAAGGCTTGGAATCATCAGTTGAATCACTTTGTCCAGTGCGGTACCTCTGCAGGCATGGGGTCCCACTAACTTGGAGCTAGGGCAGAGCTGTTGCCCTGGTCAGTTTTTACCTCCTTGTTCTTGTAGGGCAGCCCATGGGTGGTGGGTCCCAAGGCTATGGGGCACACTTATCCTTTGCTGCCTTGTTTGGTCACCTTCATGCTCAGCACTTGCCTGGGTTCCCCATGGGTTTTTGTGGACTCTTTCTTCGCTGCTCTTTTTCCCCAAATTAGGTCTGTCCCATACATTTTTTCCCTTGCCAGACTCTGGCTTGGATCCAGGTAGATTTAAAATGCCACACTAAGGTCTCTTCCTGCTTCCCCTCTACCCCACAGTTTTTTGGTGTGTTTTTCAGATAAGCCAGTTCTTCCGTTTGCAGCCCACACACTGACTCGGCGTCCCCCAGTGTTTTGATTCTCTGATCTGATCCATTTGTTCCCTGGTTATAGCAGATGCTTAGCAATGCCTGGGGATGGCAGGAGGGACTGGGTGGGTAGAGTTGGCAGGCTCAGAAATGAGTCTAGGGAAACACAGAGGCTTAACTTCTCACAAGCACCATCCAGGTGACGTGCAGACATTTTAATGCAAATATTATATACAAAGATGCATGGTAAAGCCCTCACAATGGCAGTTGCCTGCATCTTTGGGTCCTAAAGAGCCAAGGTAAATTCAACAGTGGCAAGGGATGTGTGCTGCACTGTTCAGAGCTGTCCTCTTCTTTCACATCCTGCCATGCCCTTCTGCCTTATGCCCATTTCTGGAGGAAACAATTAATCTTGGAAAGTCACCACAGCACATTGCTAGGGCTATCTCATTTCATAGGTGTCTACCACATTGCTGTGTGGACCTGGTCTGGAATAGCAGGAGCTACAGATCAGCATTGTGGGACATCAAAAAGCCCTATGTAGGGGAGCTGAGGGCTAGAGGAGAAGGGTCTGTAGGCTGAGATTGAAGGACACTGTTTGGGCTGGGTGTACATAGGAAACCCAGGCTTTGGTAGCAGGGTCTACATACTGAGATTGAGAAACCTCAGCAAAACCATACAGGGATCCGAAGCTGGCATAGCAGGACAGTTGCATGTTTTGATTGAAGGAGCATTCACAGAGCTTTGTGAAGGGAGTCCAGGGGTAGAGCAGGGGGCTGAAGTCAAGAAGTGCATCAGAAGACTGGGGGCAAAACTTCCATGGGGTTGTACCTCTAGTAGCTGTCTACCTCTAGTAGCCCATTCAGAGATGTTATTGGAATTGCATCCATACAGAACTCTCCCAGCAGAAGCACATGCTTATTAGAGCTGAGTCCATACTGTCTCTGAAAGCTGTTTTTCTGGCTTTATAAGGAAGCTCCATCTCTGTCTTGAAGCAGTTCCGGGTAGAGCAGAAAGAAACTGATGTCCTTTGCAGGCAGCATGTATTGGGCACTGTGTGACACTCAGCTGGCCTTGCACAAAATGCTAAACTGTTCCTCTTAGTCTATGAGAAGCAGAACAAAACGATTCCCTAGGAAAGTACAGTGGAGACAGCTGTGGGCTCTGAGCCAGCTATTGATCTCCTCTGCAGCAGTGTTAGCCCTGATCCATTAGTGGATTTCAGTTCCAATTTAATTTCTTTAAGAGTGCTGTGCAGATTGTAAACCCTTGGTGGGCATCTGCATTGTTAATCTTACTCTTTTTTTTTTTGTTAACTGTCAGTGCTTAGCTCTGCTGCAGGCATGTGTTCCTCTTTGCTACAGGTGCACTCATGCTTTTGGGACGCTAAGCCAGGGTCACAGCTAACCCCTGATCGAATTGCAGTGTTATGGGCACCTATACACATGTCTGATGCCTGCTCTGAGATGTTTTAATTAATCTAGTCTGCTGGAGCTTTCTAATTAGAATGCTCACGTATGTTCAGCATCCCTGCTTTTCAGAATGGCGGTGGAGGCATTTTAACTAAAGCTCATTGAATGAGCTTTAGTTAAAGCGCCCCTCCTGCCATTTTGAAGCATGAGATGCTGCATATGAGAGTTGCTGAGGGTGTTTTAATTAGAGCAACTCCCAAGATCCACTCTAATTAAAAGGCCTTCTCCTCCCCTCCACCAACCCCAACCCCAGAGCACATGTAAAAATGCATGCTTTGTT